TTATTCTAAAATCTTTCTTACTCTGCATTTTTTCACAGTATAACTACTGCAAATTTGGTCCCCCCCGGATCTCAAACTTTTCCCCACCCCACTGCCTACAGTGTGAATGAGAACTAAAGTTTGCTCCTCCCAATATTAGAACCAGATGTGTCACTCGTATTTGCATGAAAGACACACTTTGCATTGCAGCACATCCCTGAGTGACCTGTGGCAGCTTATAAACCTGTGAGATTAACACTCTGTTACAGCCGTCCTTCAGAGCAACACAATGACTTTAATCACCATCTTCATCTGGATCCTCACCCTCTGCATCCAAGGTCAGTATGAATGCATCATCAATATTCAAATTGAAAATCAAGAGCCTTCATGTAGACTAGAACTATATAATGATACAATCATATTTGTTCAAATATTTCAAATAACGTTATTTATGTTTTTTATAGAATCCAGAGGCCAGATTACTGTGACTCAGACACCTGCAGTAAAAGCTGTTATTGTAGGAGAAACCGTGACCATTAGCTGTAAAACCAGCAGCCCTATAGATTATGATGACGTTTCATGGTACCAACAGCAGACTGGAGAGCCGCCAAAACTCCTCATATATGAAATAAGCAGCCGTCAGTCTGGGACTCCAGAACGATTCACTGGCAGTGGATCCAACTATGGGTCTGACTTCACTCTGACCATCAGTGGAGTCCAGGCTGAAGATGCAGGAGATTATTACTGTCAGAGTTTCCACTACCCCAATAGTCAACACGTGTTCACACAGTGATACAGAACCATACAAAAACCTCCCTCAGTCAGACTGCACAGTGACTGCACTGCTGCAGCTGGGACTCACTGCAGGTGCTGAGGGGGAAGATAAACAAAAGCTTGGTAAAGTTCACTTTTCAGTAAGTGTAACAGGGTTCAAGTACACCTTAAAATATTACGATTTTTACAGAAAATAACTTTACAATATTTATTATTTAATACTGAGACACAAAAAAGAAGTTAAGACAACTTCAAATTTCAAGACAACTTAATGCACTAGATTTTTGAATTTTGAGGCCAACTCAAACTTTTAAGTCTTGAAGAAAACCACCTATTGCTGTGCCAAATAATAATTTTTGTTCAGATAATTCATCTTTCATATATGTATATAAAAGCTTCAAATTTTTAGTTTTACATACTACAAATTCCTAACAACAAAAGTACCAACTTGTTTTTTTTTTATGATTTATCTTTCATATGCGCAAAAATTTAAGTTTAACATACCAAGAATCCAGCCTTTGCAGCACCCGGGGAGTTGGGGGTCCGGGTCCTTGCTCAGGGACCCACAGATGTGCTGAGGTTGGGCTTGAACTGCCAACCAGGCACAGGGGTTTAACCCACTGAATCAAATGCTTCCCCATCTAGACTAAGACTCTGCCAAAATGCTAAACAGTTATAAAAGACTGCTTTTGTGTTGGCACACATGTTCCATAAACCTGACTGAAATCAAACATTATCAAATGCAAAGTACAATCCAGCACCAATCAACTGAAAAACAATGCTAGCTAATTGCATAACCCTTGACAGTTATCTACCAGGGGGGTATTCCATGAAAGTAGCTAAAAAAAAGCCAGACTTTCCCAAAAAAGTCAA